TGTAAGTAAACTTTCTTAATATATAAAAATTAAAATTGCCGTTTGTAAGCCCTAAATCTTCAACAAAGTTCGTCCATACTTAAATTGTGTATATTGTGTAATATATATATTAAGTAAAATAAAACGCCTATGGTTATACCCATAATACATATGCGTATTGATTGGCTGCATTCGTGTTAACTGTCTAGTTCCATGACAGTTGCACATACGCATTAAATAGGTTCAAGGACTTCCAGCAGACAAGTTTGACCAACCACATACCTTACAGAGACTCGGTGACCAGCAAGCGATCATTGCCGCACATATTCCTCTAATGCTTTACCCCCTTCCCCACACGTTGAAAACTAATTTTCTAAATATGCTCACCACTCGCGGTTCACTTCATCCAACTATTTGCCTACTTGTCTACATTATCTGTTTCCGAAACTTATTTAAAAGCAATAAAGTCAACAACAACAGAGGCTGTACTGAACAACCAACAAAAAAAAAAACAAAATACAAAAATGCGCCTAACTTCAGACTTCGAAAAATAAAACTAATAAAAAAGCGAAAACGCATTTTCACAATTTGCTATTCGCTCAAATCGCTTTTTTTCCAAGCACAACAAAACACAAAAAAAAAACAAACAACAATAAACAACTTTAACTTCGGCTGCACCAAAGCTTTAATACCCTTCCAAGTTGCTTTGCTTACAGCATAAAAGGGTATACCAAGATTATATTGATTTTGATCGGTCAGTTTTTAAGGCAGTTGTACGCTATAGTGATGCGAAATCGGCGATTTCGACAAAGGAGCAGCTTATCGGGAAGAAAAAAACGTGTGCTAAACTTCAGATCGATATGTCAAAAACTGAGGAACTACAAGTAGTTCGCGTATATACAGACGGAGAGACAGACATTGCAAACATCGTAGCAAATTTAATATAACCTGTGCAGGGTATAAGAAATATAATTGTATGTTTTCATTAAATTTTGCTCATTTTTGCTTGGATTTTTTATGTTTCGTGTTACTTCTGTGATGTGGAATTCTCAGTGATTGTCTCAAATTGTAAACGCATTGGAAAATAAAAAACGAAACTTGCAAACAAAAGCAAATGTTAAGCAGCTAAAATGCAAAAACTTGCAAGCGACAAATAAAAATGTACGCACATACGATTATATACTATACATATACAACTAACAACCCAACTTCAACGGAGCAAACAATCAAATCAACACCAAAACAACTTGAGCGTGAGTTCATTCTGCTGCAACCATTTTCGATTTGTTTCGGTTTTTATGCGTCCATTTGTTTATTTTATCGGACATGATTTCACTGCCAATCAAAAGTTACTACATACGCCCAGGATATCTTGACACTTGAATATGAATATGTTATTCAGCAAAGCCATATCCGAAAATACCGCTGTACACACTTGTTTTGCTGGGCTTTATCTCTATTTGAAATGTGTGTATGTATGTGTCGCTGACCGATGGCTGCAGTGATAAAACCTTTATGGTCATTAGGTTGGGCACCCTTCTAACTGACTAGCTGATTGAAACTTCAACTTGTGGTTGATAAAGTATTGCCATATTTTTACAATATTTTGTAATTTAAATTAAGTGATTGTATTTGAAGGTGTGTGCATTGGGAAAAAATATAAATGTATAATCTATTTTTTAAGTACAAACTTCGGCGTTAGTAATTTGTGAAAGAAATTTAAATTAGGCTATTGGAAGACTCTTACTTCTATTGAATTAGCTATATAAACTAAGTCTACAGTGGTTTTTTTGTTCTAGCTATAAAATCGATTTTGGATATATGTAACTGGGCTCACATCAATGATTTTGAAGGTTTTTTTCCTATTTATTTTTAAATCTTTATTTCCATTTCACATTACAAAAGTCAGAAACCATGTAACAAAATAATAGATATATTTATAATATTAGTTTTTTTATGAAAAATAAGGATACATAGAAGTAAACAGGGAGAAAATGTGGTTACATTTCAATAAAACTCCTTGTTTGAGCTTTTCTCTCAAAATCTTTTAGTTGCCAATTTCTTTTTAAATACTTACTGTAATCTGGCGACCCCTTCAACATTGACATCTTTCATCTATTAATTATAGGTACTGATGAATGATTTTTCTAAATGATTGTGCAGATGGCCTAGCTTGATACTTAAATTTCATTCTAGAGTCTGACAGTTCAAAAACATATTTTGCACAATTTCTTCGTAATTTGATATCTTGTTTACCTAGAATAATTTCGACAATCAAGAGAACAATTTTCACGATTTCAGAACAGTCATAACTTTGGTAAAAGCTATATCAAACATTCCACCTTTAAATTTTTCCATACTAAGTTGGGAAATTTTCCACAAATGTCACCACAAACAGTACCCTTCCACGTGCAATGCTTTGACAAATTGCTTTATAATTCCTAACTTGATCACGTATTAAATCACTGAGTTCATTTTGAGACAGTAACTTTGGCGTAGATGTTTTACCTTCCTATTCACTTCCACCGGTAGAATGTATCGATTTCTTTGAATTTGGCGACATCATTGTTTCTGAGGGCACGCCAACGACTTTTGAAATCCCAAGCCAAATTTACATTGAGTAAAATAGGACATTTTTAAACTGTAAGTTTAGATATCTTTGCATAACTTTCGCATATTTTCGGTAAGGAGTCTGAGAGTGGGGATCACATGATGCTTATATACCCAAAAAAGGTGTTCAGAACCCTAATAATGCCTAGAAAATTTAATTTTTCTTACTAACAAGCCGATAACACGGTAATGCACAATACCTGGGAAGTGACGCTACAAAAGCCCTGTGAAATTGATCAAAATGTATGACAACAAAAATCATAAAAACTAGAGCACATTCATTGCTCTCATGAATAAATTTGTAATCTCTACACTTAAAAACAACCAAACTTGCTAAGATATCCATGGCAAAAAAATTATTTTACTTATAAAATTTTTCTATTTTGTCATCCACTCCCAATAATTGTGCTCACTGGACGACCTTCCTATTGATTTCTGCCATATTTTCATTAAGAGTATCCACTAGTATACACTTTACGCCTTCTGCTTGCCATAAGGGTTAACTTCAATAAACTTTGCAACCACCCTGTATGTAATTTGAATACAAGGGTATAATTAAGGCATTCTGTGTAAATTTTTTGGTTATTGAAAGCGAAAAATTGTGCAATATTAAAAACAAATGCATTAATTATACATTAAAAAATATATTACATGAATGAATCATCTAACGGCAAAGAAAATTGAAAACGGTTAAATGCAGGAAAAAGCAAATTTCACAGTTAACGTAACTGTATAAAACGACTGCCAAGTCGTTAAATAATGAGTGCAATAATCACAGCGAAATAAATTACAGTGACATTTTTACACCAAACAACCAAATTACCGTTGGAACAAAAAAGCACTGAGTTATAATTGATATATTTTTTACTCGAACGCATAAATTTACAGTTTTTCTTTGTTGCTAATTCGTCATGCAACTGACAATCGCTAGCTTGTAATTATGGTTTTTGGTCACAAATGTCAATTCTTATTAAAACTCGATGATAATTGACATTTAAAGTTCCTCCTTAATATTCGCAATTCGCAACAAAAACTTACAGTTAGAACAAAGTTAATTGGTTATATTGTGTTTACCGCTTCTTAAAGTGATTTTTAATTTTTATTTCTATTTAAATTTTTTGTTCTATACTTCATTTCAAATCTCTTGCGATTACAGTAGCAATAAGTGGCTCAAAATAAACAAACGCATCGAGATCGCCTGTTGTTGTTGTTGGTCGTCATTATGGAGTGGTTTTAAGAGTTTCGCCCATTTTGGTAACGGCAAGTTGCTTTTTAAGGCAGTTGCCAATATTTTTCAACAATTGCGTTTATACTGAAAAATAGTCAGAAGTGTTGGAGTGTAGCAACAGTTATGTAAGCTGTCGATTTGAAGCTCGTCACGAGTACTGGCGAGGCAAAGTTTTTCTTTTTAATTGGGGCTTGCTGAAAATTGGTGGTTGGATTACTATAATTGTTAAGAAGTGGCAGAGCGGTTTGAAGGGTAGTTAATCACTTTTTTACACACAGATTCTCAGTTTATAATACAAGACAATATAAAATGGAATCTAAGTAGTGTCGAGATTAGAAATATAAGTGAAGGGTGCTTTGTTAAACAAGTAGTTTTCATGATGAAATAAAATTTATCTATGGTCAAAAATTGAGCTTTGTTATAAAGATAAGGGTTTGTTATTATCTCGAAAAAATATTTTGGGCTGGCTAGAACAAATTCCAGCCGAGAGGCCCAATTTTTGACCACTTCTTGCAGCAATTGGGGTCGTATGTAAGCAATAACGCGCCGAATATTTTCTTCCAAGGTGTCACTCGTCTCGGGCGAAAGTAATCACGATACATACTTACATATAATATACCGAATGTAAACTGATCATACTCCACCAATTCATGTCATTGTAAAAAAGCGAGTTTAACTTATTTAGATTAGGTGTGATAATAATAGCTTCGGAACTGCCGATATCAGATGATTATAGCTTATAGCTACCATAAAAAACTGACCGATTCTAACAAAGTTTTTGTATGGAAAACTTTTTTATTTGATTAGATATCTTTACGAAATTTGACATGGGCTATTACACGAGGCAACGATGCAATATTCCAAAAAAATGTTTCAGATCGGACCATTAGCATATACCTATGTACTCAGGATGAAATATCTGTTTTTCTTATTAAATAACATTAATTCGACTTGAAGGTTGTTTAAACATCACTGAACACAGATCATGGCACATTAAAAATGCCGAAACGACACTTAGAAATCATATCATCCCTACTTAAAAACCCGATATGTGTACATATGTCCATACATAGTTGCTATAAGAAATGCCGTAGTTAACGTTTTTTTTTTTTTGTTTTTAATATTAAGATACATACTGTATGCCAATATATTGTATTGAATCTCTGTTGTTTTCTTATTACAGTTTACGGCAAACGTGTTATTTCCCGCTCTTGTTTTTACGAAGACTATGAAGACTCCTCCGATCGCTGCGGTCATGAAACTAGCTCATCCTACATCAAAACGATTTTCTGTCAAACATGCAGCAGCGATGGCTGCAATGGCGCTGTCACTTTCACGCCTTACGTCGCGTTAGTCCTACTACCTATCGGCACGCTGCTAATCAAGCTGTTCAAATGAAGTTCGTAGAAGCGGGAGCGCAGTTGAGGTTATGGCGAGAATCGTTCGGAGTCCACCTTTGCAATGCTTTGTAATCTTAAGATAAAACCAGCTCTTTAAATAGTTTTATGTTTTAAACACATAAGTCACTTTTAAACATACTATAAGTTAGCGAATTAATTTTGCAATGAATATAAAAAAAAATTAAATATAATTCGTTGGAGTTGTCGTTTTTTAAACTGTAGAATATGTGTTAAATATGTAGTTAAATTTTTTCACTTCAAACCCAAAACATTTAGAGGAAAAATTTTTCAAAACATTTTAAATAAATTATTAACAACTCAAAACTATAACTAATATAATTCGCACAAAACACAAAGATTTTTAATAGCAAGAAAATTTGTATTCAGCACCGCTAAGCAAAACATGCAGAGTTTTGAACTAATTCCTTACTAATCAGGAAATTATGGTATAACGGTTTCTAGTACACGAAATATGCAGTAAGTTTTGAAATACCCATCAACATGCGAGGCTGCAACACAAAGTCTATATAATCTTAAAAATAAATAATATCGTTTATACAAACATACAAACATGTATTACCGTTATTCACATAATAGCCAACTATGGTAAATGATTTTGAACGTCCAAATACAGTGTAAATTAGTGTTCAAATTATCATTTTTAAAGTAAAATAAATAACATAGCAACAGCGTTGTCATACAATTTACATATTTACTGTATTGTACAATTTTATTAATTTAAGAACATCAGAAGTCCCAATAAACTGAGTGATTATGAAATGATGGATTTTTCATATTTCTATTCCTATTCTTGGTAAATGGAATGGAAATTTGTCGTAATTTATTGTTTTGTCATAAGGTTCACGGTTTCTGGTCAAATAACGTTTTTTGATTAAAGAAAATATGTTGATATATGGAAAATCTGCCAAGGGATGGTGTGAAATTCATACTTGTCCTATGTGGAAAACGAAAAGCTGACCATAGAACTATGCTGTACTGTTAGACAGCTTCCAATAACTTCAATCTGTCAATATTCTTCGCTGGCGCCAAGCAAAACTTTAGTTACGTTTAATTTACGTTACGACTTGAAGTTGACTACTGACACAAGAGTTAAAAAGAAAGGGGAAAAGACAGACATGTATGTGTTTATTAAGTCTCATATTAATAAATATTTATACCCTAAACAGGGTATATTAAGTTTGCTACGAAGTTTGTCACATCCAGAAGGAAACGTCGGAGACCCTATAAAATATAAGCTGTCTGCTTTTTTTTTTTCCTGCTTTCCATATCGATCTGATTGAACATATGAATAAATGTGCCATACAAACTGATTGATCAAAACCAAGTTCTGGTGTGGAATACTTTTTTATTTAACAAGATATCTTCACGAAATTCAGTATGGATGATTGGCCAGTGTTACTCCATAAGCCTCGAACATATTGTTCGAATTGAATCACTATAGCATATATCTGCCTCAATCAAACTTACAAACAAAATCAAGATAAAGATATTTTTTCCTTGTTAAGTAACCTTAATTCAACTTGTGGGTTTTATTTAATAACGTGCTAAAAGAAATGCACCTATGAAGCATATTACAGCTTCGGTGCAGCCAATAATAACGTATTTTCTTATTTTATTGAATTAACGGGTGTTCTTTTTAAGCGTGTGGTTTTCAATAAGGCAGTGATGATCTTTTTGACAGGTTTTATTCGATTTATACTCAGTTTCGTTTGCTATTTCATAATGAATCGACTTGCTCCCGAACAATGGGCACAAAACGAGATAGTCACTGATCCTTCTTTTCAGCAAGCCATTGTTGAGATCCCGTTACATCCTCAAAAAGTCTCTGATGCTCCAAGGTCAGAGAGAACTATTAGTCCATATTTCTCAAAAATGAAGCCGGCCACAATGTTACAGTCAATGGGAAACACTATAGAGCCTTGATTAATGACTTTTTCGTGCGTGAATTGGAGGATGTTGGTTGATGTGGACGAAACATGGTTCCAACAAGACGGAGCGACATGCCATACAGTCAACGAAACAATCAATTTATTGAAGGAAACTATTATTCGTGGGCATGTGACGTATTATCGTCGTGGGCATGTGACGTGACCTCCAAGTTCTCTTTTTTGTGTGGTTCTGTGAGGTCGCTTGTCTAAGCAGATAAGCCCGAGATGATTGACGCCTTGGAAGAGGTTATTCGGTGCAATTGTCGTAAATTGTGGTCGACAATTAAGCTTCTCGACTGGAATTTATTCGGTCACTTACTCGAAATCATTTTTAAAACATAATTGCAAGACCTTATCTTTATAATAAAGCTCAATTCTTGACCATAACATTAAACTATATGCGTTTTATTTCTTCTTGAAAACTACTTGTCTAGAAAACACCCTTTACATGTACATTGTGTAAGAAAGTTCGAAAGAATGTGGAAACTTCAAAATGATGCAAAATATTTTATATTTCTTAAAAGTAAAGTTTCTTCAAGAAAGTGTTGTGTTGTGTGATTCCCTAAGGAAATATTGCTACGTTTCCGTAGTCTGCTCTTGATACCTCTTGTTTACTGCGCTGCATAAGTTTCTACTTCTATGACTATACAGTTTTAATTCGAGCTCTCGAAGAAAATACGTAATACATAATAACATTTGTCAATAAATACTCTTGTGTTTGTTTCATGTTTGTACTATTCACCAGTGTAGTTTTCAAACCACTCTCTGAAATCAGCGGAAATGCAATTATGTTTAATTGCTCCTTTTTTATTCTTTCCAACGTTCCTTTGTCATGATTTAATTTTTTTGTAACCACTGCACTCTAATCTTCCTCGTTGATTGCAGCTGTGTGTTATTTAGAATGCTGCGTTCACCGCCTACGCTTAGCTCTGCGACTCTTCGCCGGCACGTCTGGCCTTTGACCGTTGCCTTAGTTTGTTTGTACATAATTGACAATGACCGTGGCTGCTCATAGGGGTAAAATTGGTATGAAAAAAATTGTATATGCAGTTTTAAGTTTTATACACGCATACATATGCCAATTGATGTCACGATACTTGGTGGCTGAACTTACTGCCTGGAGGGCTACTTACTCATTTTGAGCGCTACAGAGCTAGAGCTAAAACTTGTATCTGGTTTAGGTAGGTAGGTAGGGTGGATGTCAGCCGACGCTCCCATGCCTTTAGGAGGCCCATTATGAAACCACCGGAACTAAAATCTATTTAATCTGTTATGGCCTCTCTGCACCACCCTGTGTCCTTTATGAAGTCCATTAAAGATGTTCTCTTCTTCTTCTACCTCTTGAGAATTTCATATGCCATTCATGCTACGTTTGTCTGCTTATGGAGCAAGTTAGGCATTGCTCCCGTCTAGATTCAGCTATATCTATAACAAATTTGTCGATAGTGGTATGGTGGTTCCCACTCTGACCAGTTCATTAGCTTCACAATTACCAGGAACAAGAATCAGAACAAGAAGGCTTTCCTTGTTTACTGTGATCTCCGCTTGAACGACACTACAGTGGGCTGGTCGAAAGGCAATTCTGGTATCTAATTTTGCTGAAAAGACACCACCTTCTACTCGATTATCTAGTTTGGACCCATCCGTATATATACTTATCCCTGATCTTCATTTATTTCTATTTGCCGTATGAGATGTTTTCCTCCCGTTCAGTTAGTTTAATCTTATATACTCGTATATTTATCACGGCAGCACTTATCAGTCACACTATATTTACTTGGACTTGAGTTCAAATTTCTTTTTGCAAAAAATTAATTAACTGCAAACAGTGTTATAATTCTGATAGTTAATTAACCGTTGACACTTTTTTGAGTCGCTGTGGGAATTGAAAATACCTCTTGGTGAGCTCGTGTGTTTACAAATGTGGATTTGCCGTTAATGTCTTTCTTATAATATATAGTCGGTTGATTGATTGAACATGTAAGAGAATCGCATTTAAGCCAGCATTAGGTCCTTTGTGCACTCTAGTGGCGACCAATTAAACTCTATTTAGTAACTTCGTGGATTTAATGAAATGTCTACCTTTTTTCATCCAAACTTCCCAATATCATTTCGGTTGGAATATTGGGAGCCATGGAAAATATCCTGTCTCAACTGGCTGAAGGCTCGGTATGCTGGCGTATCATCATTCTACGCATATTCTGCAGACTGACTTGACAAAATTCCTCAAGATGGGATCTAGTTCTCTCTCATCTCCTCTAGAGTCCATTGCTTCACGCGTCTTTTGAAAGAGCGGAATACTCTAAGACAGCTTAAAGGAACTGCACTGCGCCCCTTTCGTCTAACTTTAAATTTCCTTCTATAGCCTTGCAGGATGTTAAAAGTTTAAGATTAGATAAAATATATTTTTATACCCTCAACAGAGTATGTTAGGTTTCCCACGATGTTTGTAATACCCTAAACGGAACGTCAGAGCCCCTATAAAATATATACATAAATGATGTATGGAATGCTTTTTCATTTGACGAGATATCCTCACGAAATTTGGCATGGAATATTGTCTAAGGCAGTAATGCAATCTTTGAAGAAATTGTTCAAATTAATTCACTATAGTATATAGCTGCCATACAAACTGACCGGCAAAAATTCTTGTAAGGAATATTTTGTAATTGAAAGGTATTATAGCTTCAGTGCAACCGAAGTTAACGTTTTTTCTTGTTATTCTGGAAATAAGCTAATGCGATCTGAAATGCTTAGGTCACTTTAATATTGTCTTTAGAATACACTGAATTAAAAATGTGTACCTTCTGAGATATCAACATTTGTTCATATGACCATGCGCAATGCCATGCGCAATGCCTTTTAAATCGACAATCCGCACACAAAGTTGTCGCCTATGGCAGTTTGATTGGCAATTGGCACGCAGTTTTTGCTTCAATATTTATTTTACTGCTACTTTTTTCCAAAGCAAAGATTTATTTTGCATTATCGGTAAATATTGTAAACAATATGAGGCAAATATATGCTGCCATGTTTAGAATTCATGTTATTGTTTTTTATCTGCCATTTGCATGGCAACTAATTGCAGGCAAGAACAAATAATGCGACTCGAAACGCATTGCGCATACGCGCCGTCGACTTTCAACTATTTAACTGTCACGCACTTTGACTCACACACACATATATTTAACTATTTTTGTTTACATATAATTTAAGTATTATATATATCATTCTTGTTAGCGCTCCTCCTTTTTGGTCCCGCCAATTCGCTCCGTCGCTCGCGTCCGACTTCACTGCCGTTTAATGAATAAGATTAATGTCAAGATTTGCATACAGACGCATAGATTTTGCCAAATCGAGTTTGCTGCTGCTTTTCAGTTTTTTACGAATTTATTGTACATTGCGATTGTTTTTGTTGCTTTTAATATTAATTGGTTAATAAATACGTAGCGATTACTGGTGTAAAAGTAATAACACTAAATTTGGTTGTCGAGTTGCTCGAATAGTGTTAATTTTATTAGAAAGATTTAAAACAAGAAAAAACATATAATAACAAAAATAATAAATTAAAAAAAAAAAAACAAGAATAATAAGTGCTAAATTTCGTGTGAAATATCTTGTCAAATAAAAAAATTTTTCTCAAAAGGACTTGATTTTCGTGGCAGTTTATGCTATTGTAGTCCGATATTGGCGGCACCGACAAATTAGCAGCTTCTTTGAGAGAAAAGAATGCCTGCAAAATTTAAGATCGGTAACTCAACAACTGAGGGACTAATTCGCGTATATGCAGATAGTCGTTCAAACGGACAGAGAAACGGACATGACTAAATCGATTAATCTTATGATACTGATGATTTATAAATATATTTTATAGGATCTTCGATATTTCCTTTGGAGTGTTACAAACTTCGTGGCAAACTTAACATACCCTGTTCCGGGTATAAATATGTAAGGATAGGTGCGCACGTGAGTTTGTGAATATCGTACACGTGATATCGTACAATTACAGCATAAATGTAGCTGTCATACAAACTGACCGATCAAAATCAAGATAAAGATATTTTTATATCTTTTTATGCTAAAAGAAGTGCACTTTTTTAGGGTATTAACGTTTTTTGTTTTTTGTTTACTTATAATCGGCATAATTATTGCCTACTGTCGATGTTTAGATATTATTATACTCAAAATTTTGCGATGTAAACGGGTCTTTATATTTTTACAATTTAGCAATAAGAAGTAAAACCTTAAATTTACATAGCTTGCACGGCGTTTTTACGGATTCGACCTAAAATTTAACTTTTGGCAGAAATCTTGAAAAGCATTTATATTTTTTTCATGATCTGTGAACTCTACGAATACCGTGTCGCGGCGTTATCAGGTAAGAGGAATATTTCGTTTATATAGATTAAGAAACAGATGCATAAGCAAACTATTCATTCCCAAACAAATTATTCACATGATTATCTTATACGGAGGTGAATTTGCTTTGGTTCATTAACAAAGGTGAAATACTTAAGTATGGTGGAATCACTTAAGTTAACGCACGCACTATCAGCAGAGAATGTTAATAAATAGAGCAGATGCAAACAGAGAATGTTAATAAAATATATATAATAAAATTTATTAACATTCTCTGGTTAAAATTGACGGAAATCCGTTGTTAACAGTCGTTGACATACAATAGCTTCCAAACTGTTAACATTATGTGGCATAAACGAAAAATTTATTAACACAGCGCCTCTCACATATGTCTGTTATACACAGTTGTTACCAAATAGTGACTTTTATACCATCCCCCTTCCGAAAGGACTAATGAAATACTTCGTATTTTATGTTAGCGTTCGTATGGCGCCATTAAAACTGCCACCTTCTTCAGCACCATCGATGTCATCAGCATCGTCACCACGGCGCCATGGGAGGCTTACAGAAGCAAGTGCCCCACTGCTAGTAACAAATACAACAGTAGAATTACGGCCGACAGCCAACAGCCGAACTAATAACCAAGTGACGAAAACTGTTTACAGTTCTTAGCACTAGGGAAATATATCAATGTATGTATTTAAATGCGAAACAGCAGCAGCCTCAGCCGCAGCAGCGACGAACGATATCACTTGTGGAAATTTGCAAATTACCATGTATTGTTTTTGTAACTATTAGAGCTGTTTGGCGGCGCTCGCCTTTCTAGACATTTGTGAGTTTGGTAGCTTCTTTCGTCGGCACAAGCAGCTGCTCGCTTCAGTCGAAGTCCGCTAGAGAAAGTGTTAACATCGCTTTCTGCTTGCTGCTCACGTGCGAGTAATTACTTGAAGACCATTACACATTGTTTTTTAAATTAACGGTTATTGGCGTCACATTGTCGCGAGCTTTGTTTAAGTATCTAAGAAGTGACTAAATGGGGTTATACTTATTCATCATTTGTGAAGTGAAATAGAAACAAATTTCTAGATTAATTATTAGAAAGCGAAAGGAAAGATTTAAAACAAACCGAAAAAAATTCAGAGTCTGCAATTGCTCAAGGTCAAAGCGGCATTTAGAAATCAAACGGAAATACCTGCCAATCATTGCTGATAACTAGCTGGAAGTAAGCGATTGCTACAAAAAAATGCAAAAGGACCTGAAAATTATATTAAGTGGAGTTTGCCTTATTTTGGCGTTGCATTGCAGTAAAGGTTAGTATATAATTGACAAAACTTATCAAATAACGACGCTCAGCTGATAGCTGAACAAATAAAAAGTAGTATAAAATTTTTCCCAATACTTTTTGAATAGACTTTTCGAAAAAGGGATACCGTTTATGCCCTGTTTGCCACGAAGTTTGTAACACCCCGAAGTAAACGTCAGAGACCCTATAAAAATAAATTTTTATTACCAGTGTGACGAGCTAAGTGATTTAGCCATGTCAAACTGTATGTTTTTATATATGCAAGCGAGTCCCTCAATTTTGAGATATCGATCCGAAATTTTGCACATGCCCTTTTCTCCCCAGAATGTTGCTCATTTGTCGGAACCTCCGATATCGGACCACTATAGTACAAGTATATAACTGCCATATAAAATGAAAGATCAAAATCAGGCTCTTGTATAGAAAACATTTTTATTTGACGAGAGATCTTAACGACATTTGATACGCATGATTACCCTAAACAACGAGATAATCTCCGGAGAAATTGTTCAGATCGGATCACTATAGCATATAACTGCCATACAAACCGAACGATAGGAGTTCAAGTTCTTGTACGGAAAACTATTTTATTTGTAAAGGGAAACTAAAGTACGTTTTTCTGTTTCTTGGTATATTTCTGAAATAGGCAATATCGGCAGAAAAACATTATTATTATTTCGGGCAAAGATAACGGTTAAAATCTCAATAGAAACATTATTTGCAAGTTATTCAAACCAACATAAGAGCATTAAAGGTTAAAAGCAGAATTTAAAAAAATATTTCTGAGCATATTTTGTTGGGATCGGCGTAGTACTGCATAATTATGATATGCGAGCTTCCATTAAATTTGTAGACAAGCGCGTTTACAAAGTATAGAGTCATTGTCCTTACCATTTACTAATGACTTGCAATAAATGATTGCCATTTAATTTGAAATCTTTTCAACATAACCTCACACCTAAATAGATACATATATACACATACGAGTGTCTATATTAATGCAACAAAATGTTCACTAATGTACATTTATTTGAAGCGATTAAGTTACACGTATCCATCATCCATATACATACATATGGACATGTCTACTTACAAAGACTAATTAGAGCCTGAGAATAATGAAATAGATAAGCAAATTAAGTATTAATGGAATTACTATATCACAAGGGAAATTAAATGTGTCCATGATACACCCTTTAAGGGGGGTAAGGGTTAATTCGTGCAAAAACAAGCACGTTTTTGGGATTTTTTTGTGACAGTTAAACGCACACACACACACACACACACACACAACATTAAACATTAAAGTATGGCATTCCAAGAACATTATGTGAAATTTTTATGAAGAAATATTAAAAAATACGGCAATGACAGCAATTATTCGAACGTGTCTCATAAAAAGAAAGAGAGGGTTGCGGTGCCTTTAATAACTTTATGCTGTATCATCCGACAATTAAAAATTATGGTTTACTTGCTAAATAGTAGTTTTTCTTAGGTACACTGAGAGGATTTTCTGAAATTTCCCTCTACCAGGCTTAGAAACCACATTGTTAAAGAAGCACGAGTATTTCTCTGTGGCATTATCATGCAGTGAGGTTGCAAATTTCTCTGAAAAACAGAGCAACAGCAATAACAGCAACTTCTGCAATATTAATGAAAACATACTTTTCCATGAAAAAATTAATTTTAAAACATTTTCATTAAGCGTTTGGTTTGTTTTGGTTTTTTGGGCTGAGTCAGTAATTTATGAATAATAAATTCTGCAAGCAGGCGGTAAAGTCCGAAGGGAGTGAGCGTGGAAAGCATCAATTCGGGCAATATCTTTATGGCATACACGTACAGAAAGCCATTTATTCAAGGTGTCGATGCCAAGGCAAACCATGTATATAGATATAAACATTCATAGCTACTCGTACATGTGTATGTATGAATGTACGATTACTTTACAGCCACTTGTGGCTTTTAATGCGATTTTTAATACCTTTTCGCAATATATTTAAATAGAAACGCCGTGGATCAATGATTCACTGCTGGATAAAAGGTGATTTATAATTTTAATTTCCCTCCTTATATGAGGTATCTTGCCAGCTATACATCAGCTAAGCGAATGTAAATAAATGTGTATCAAAAGAAAAGTCGCTGTTTTTGTTTTTGCACTGGTTTAGTATGCACATATATATTATTTATGCATGCACTTATGTATTTATGTATACCATTTAAAGCTTAAAAACTTAAATGTTTTTAGCTTAATAGCCAAATTCACTTTGCCCTTCTTAGTTCTAAAACTTAATCATAAACATTAGTTTTTTATGAACTGGTACTTAGTAGCATTAAAGTAAGGTCAGACTGCTACCTAAAGTACTTAGTTTACATATGATAAAATTGATCAGTAAATCAAGTGCGTTCATACTTGCGAATATTAATTTGTGTGACAGCTTTGTGCGACACTGTAAATAATAATTTATCTGATATGACTGAAAGTAATAAGGAAAGTGTCCATTTCTTTTAAATTTTGAAGATATAGAATTAAAAATTTAAAACAATGGACCAAGTTAAACGACCTTTGTACCTCGATGCTAACCTCTACGCTAAAGCGGTTTTACTATTTTAGTTTTTAACGTAGCGTAACGATTCAGGAAGTAGATTATCAAGTCAGTAGCAATAATGGCCGATCCACATAAACCTTTTGCTTTGCTTTTGCTCCAGACATTTGCTCTGACAGCTAAGCTCGATTTTGTTGAGTTCGCTTATATCGACCCAAAGCAAAGCAAAGCTAAGCAAAATGCTTTGCAGATGTAATTTTTTTATGCTTTACGAAATAACAGTCGCCATGTTAAAAGGTGTATTTTTTAGACGTGTAGTTTTCAGTGTGGTCAATACATTTTCGAAGTTGGTATTTTTGACATGTTACAGTTTGGTTTGTTGGACCAGCAGAGTCGGTAGTAGTATAATGACCATCCTCAGAGATGTCGTACAGTGCGCAACGACGACGTTATTGCTGATGAGAAGCAGAGTATCGAAGAGGACCCGAATGACCATCGGCCATTGTCGGCTTACAAAATCCAACTCGTGCAAGAATTGAAGCGGAACGACCATCAATCGCGTCGCATGTTTGGTGAATTAGCTCAAAACAAGATAGCCAACCCTTCCATTTTTCACAAGACAATTTTTGGGCAATGAAGCTCACTTTTAGTTAAATGGGTACGATACTAAACAAAATTGTGGCATTTGGAGTGATGATAATTCCCAAATCCACGACGTCTCAACCGTTATATTCTCAAAAAGTCATCGTTTTGTGTGTCTTAAAGTCAATGGGGAACGCTATAGACGCATTATTAATGGCTTTATCGTGCTTGAATTGGAGGATTTTGATGCAGACGAGCTTTGGTTCCAACAAGACGGAGCGACATGCAATACAATAAACAAAACAATCAATTTATTGAAGGAAGTCCGAGACGATTGACTTCTTGGAAAATAATATTTGGTTTATTATTGCCGACATACGCACCCAATTGTTACACACGAAAATTGGACCTCTTGGCGGGCCGCGGTCACTTGGCGGCGGTCACTTGCCCGAAATCATTCACTCAAAACATAATGGCAAAGCCTTATCTTAATAATAAAATTAATTCCTGGCCATACCATTAAATTATATGCTTTTTAAAAACATCCTTTATTAGAGAGAAGCACATAAAGCAAAACTTTCTTTCTGACAAACTCTTTGCGTTCTTCGCTTCGTTGTTAAATTGTTCAGAAAAGCAAGGAAAGTTGTATGTGAAAGTCGTTGCGCTGCCTTTTATTTTCGCTTGCTCCAAAGGGTTTAACTAGTACTAACATTATATCGATGACTGATGTTTTGGAGAGTAAGTCTATCAAAGCAATTCCAAGTAAAATATTTAGAGCAATTTTATGAACGGCATAATATATACAATATTTAAATGTATTGCTAGAAAAAATTTCCATTTCTGAAAGATTTCATGTGAAGCAAAGTGCGATAAACAATTGTGTAGCAAAGCAGCGGTTCAGCGCACATGTCCGAAAAGATGGAAGAGAGGTGGAGATAGAAAACAGTTTCTGTTTGAGACTATAAGCCACTTGTAATTGTTCATTTCTACAGGTGTTTTTATTTATGAAGAATTGCAAATAGCATTTTTGGTTGTTCTTGTGTTTTTCTTGTTTGTGGATTGGCGCGTCGTTTTGCTTCGCCGCAATTTATAGCTTTGTTAAATAATTTTAACAACAATCACTGAACTTGCCGATCGCGTCGTTTTGCTTCGCCACAATTTATAGCTTTGTTAAATAATTTTAACAACAATCACTGAACTTGCCGATGCATAAGTGTCAGCAAGGTGATTAGAAAATACTTATGACCTTGAATAAACAGATACAGTTACACATTGCAATTTTCGTTGGTAGTCTTGCCCGCACATACATATATCATATGTAGATATATGTAAGAATAAATTGTTTATGTTCTAAGTGTGCGCCCTGTTATTTGCTGGTTTTGGGATGAGCATAAAGCAAATGCAAATATTATCACATAAGCTTTCCACAGTTCCGCAGATAGCCCAAAACAAATTTAAAATATTTTAGTATTCTCAAAACACATATTGTACAATATATTTTGTAATCGAATGAAAACATATGCCCCGGTAATAATCGCTTTCAAATGGCGAATATTTCCAATGCTTGACTCCCCGCAACCACTTTAGATGAGCGGGCTATGCACATGATTGTTACTTCAGTCATGATATAACATTAAATGTACTGATTAACACGAGTTTAAGTTTGAGAGCTTCGTAGAACTTCGTGATGCGATATCGACGGTTCCGACAAATAATCTGCTCAGGAAGAAAAGGGCGTGTGCAAAAATTCATATCGGTGTCTCCAAAATTAGGAACCGACAGACGGGCCTGGGTAAATCGACTCAGCTGATCATTTATACACAGTGAACCAAAAGAAAAACTTGTACAGGGCGATGTTTTGATATGAAGTGACTTATCTCCA